CGGCCAGACGGGAGATTCTAGCGATGTGCGCCAAGAATGCTGGCCGCGCGTCAGGGGCTGTACAGCACGTATATACGTCGGTAGCACTCACAAGATGTAAGAATTTCAAGTACCCTGTCCGAACTCGAGGTGTAGAACGTCAGTGTTCTCGATGTAGCCCGGTTGGTGGCCTCCGCGCTTGAACGAGCGCCGGATACTGTATGCTTCCCACATCTATCCGCCGTATCAGTTATGTATCCTCGACCGCTCGCCTAGCAGCGAGGGATCGTAGATACCAATCCTCGTTTTCGTTCTCGACGAGTGAGACTCGCTCGTATTCCGACTTCTGTCTGCAGTGTCGTAACCCGTCAGCAAACCGGCCAAAGCGCACAGACGATTACTGGTGAGACGCACCAGAGCAAAACGCCTGCTTCGACCGAACTCAGCTCAGCCCTATCCAGCGCCGCGGCATTCGACATGCTCTCCACGTTCGGGTCCCAAAGATCCCTGAGCTTCTCCTACGTGGCGGTATTCCGTGTCCGTCGTTCAGGGCTAATGGTCCAAGCAACTTCCCGCTCAACCCGGCACAAGATGCACAGCTGGCCGGACGGGGACCAGCATCGTAGTATTGCAGAAGATGGTGTGTGCGCCACGTGAGAGGACGGCGAGAGTGTGCCGTCGTGCTCGGGCGGCGATGGGGCGGTGTCGGGCAGGAGGGGTGCTGTGAGCTGCATCGAAAATTTGTTGAGTATGCTCGTGCCGGGAAATGGTACGCAGGTCGAGCATGATCTTGTAGATTTTCGGCTTTGTGGACACCGCACAACATTCCCCCGGCGGCTGAGCTCCCAAAAAAAAAAGCATGAGAGTGATGGACAAGACGTTAACACTAGTAATCCTGCACAGAAACCGTTGGTCAGACGTCGGGCCCGGGGCATCACCGATAGAACTCACAGTTGGCCCATCGCCCCGCCGACGTCCTGCTCGATGGCGGCGACGTCCTTACGGTGCTTCTCGCCCGCGGACATCTTGGTCACGACCAGGCGTTGAATGAGCGGTACCCCGTGCTAGTCACCGACGTGGTGTTGTCAGGCGCTGGCAGGCCGTCTTCTCCGAGTCCGTGTGGGTGAGAGTCTATGAGACCGCTGTTGAGGGGCATGGCCGGGCAGACGTGGTGAGAGACACGGCCTGTATGCTGGTGTGTGTCTCGTACAAGCAGGAGCTAACGAACTGGAATCGCAATGAGCGACGCGCCGAAGTAAGACAGCGTAGGTACGCACCTCTGCCATAATACTCTCCGGGTTGCACATCTCTCTGGCATCGCGTTCGAGGTCTTGTCAGACGACCTTGCAGACCCAGGCTGGGGCAGTTCAGAGACTGAAGGTATTACGTGGGATCTTCCGTCCGACATAGTTGCGAATACAACTCACCATGATGCCACGCTGTGGAAGATTACAGACCGCAACGCTCAGAGGGTCTCGGACGTTGCAATAGTCCAAGGTCCAATGGCCAAGAGGACCAGCAGGTGCCGAAGATGGTGAAGACGACAGCGTCGGCCATGAGGTGTCGGAAGGTGTCAACCGGTCGAGAGGATCTAGTATGTCCATAAGCATACTGAAACAGACGACTGTCAAGTGCGCTCACGTCGGTAAGCTTGAGGGCAAGGACGTGTAGCTCTGGCTGATTGGCGGGCATTGTAGTGGAGCGCGGAGCTCTTGCTGTGTATCGCATGTTTGGCGTAAGGGAGAGTCATTGCATCGTCGTATCGCTGCATTACTTGTTAAGCATGCGCATATATCTGAGAAATAGCACACTCTAGCGCGCCCGGACTTGGCCGGTCGGGGACTGTATCGGATATCAAAGGTGCTGGCGACCAGTGATGTGCAGTTTCTCGCACGGTCAGCGCACGACAACAATATGAGTAGCGTTGCTAGTCTCGGTTTCAGGACGCTGAGCAAGCGGTAACAAACCATTTGTAATGGTTGATCAGCGGACTTTGAAAGTCTTGCTGCAGGGCCCATTATAATTCTCTAATAGTGGGTCGATAGTCTGGAACCGAGACCACATCATCGCGTGGTGAGTGTGGCCGGAGGCATAGTGTCTGAAGGAATTCGTTTGCTGGGCTTTAATGTGGAACTTAATGAGCACCCTGACGTACTGGTGAGTGCCCTGAACACCGTGACAGATATGCATGCTATGCGGCGAGCAGCTGACCGCTGAGAAGGATTATTGACTTGTAGCATGCTGCACCGTGACCCTCGCCGGTCTATGCTTCGCTTTTCGTGCGCACACATAGCTCTGCGTCTAGTCAACTTCTTCAGCTGAACAAAGCTGGTGCTGCTCTAGTCAGGTCGACCTCCGACTGGCCACGCGGAGGCACATGTCGTGCATCCTTCGCCGCGGCGGCCTTCTCAAGACCCCCAATCGTGCAGCCCGCCAGTGCGGCCACGTCGGACATACGCCATTTTATTTCCTTCTGGCAGCGTCCTGTTTATGGATCCTGCGCTCACCCTGGGGCGTCGCATCGACATTTGAAAAGGTGCATGGCGTACCAGCTTCAGGGTCTATCGCTTGAGCATTCCCTGTTTTCCAGTACGTCAACGCTTCGACCGGCCGTGAATAGGCCCTCCTTTCCGTCGTACAAGCGTGCCCGAGACATTCTGGTAGGCATGTTCGCCTTCATGCTCTATACAAGCTGCTTCATCAATTGTACTCCCTTGGGACTAGGTGATCAGACAGTGAGTTATTGGAATGGCCCATGTAAGGTCGCCAGTGTACGCACGCCTCGAGAGGGCATTGCGGTACCAACCAAATCATGTGCTGAGCACCCTTGTCAAGCCACGTACATCGGAGCTTCTAGGTCAATTATCAACACTTATTCACTTGTACTGACATCACTAGGCCTAGACGTCCATATCATTCAAACTACGAGACTCCTCGCTAGGAACCGGCCACTACGTGCTCGCTCAGAGCTCGGCCGAAACCTCCCGGATAACTGCTGAAGGGGCTCAGCGAGCAAGCATCGAAGCCGCCGCGCATGCTCACCATCCTAAACTCACCAAAGCCTTCAAGCCTGCCGCAAATGGTGCGCACGCTTGGCGTCTGCGGCGCATCCAGCCCGTGACGGAGACGCGGTCTCACTGCAGGTATGCGCACGAGCTGCGACGAATGGGCGTGGATCCTGCGCATATCTCCCGCCGATGCCGGCAGGCGGGCCGAAGCTACCTGGATGGCTGCTGAAGCCGGGGGAGCGTACTTTGGGCAAGAACTCGCCAGGCATGCCACCGGGGCCACCGAAGCCAAGATGGGCGCTCCCGAAATGGTCAGTGGGAAGGATACCCAGCGACGCAGGTACTGAGATGGTGAGCTAGACACGCGCTTTTTCATTCGCTCTCTTCTCTCAGAACTTGAAGTAGATGGTCAGAGGTCCTCAACGCGAGGTTCTGCCGCGTTGTTGCTGACAGTGGCCTGCATGGTGCGCTTGCCGCCACTGGCATTGGTCTGGGGCGTACGACTCTGCGCTGGCGCAGGTGGGTGAGGGCGAATGACCATCACCGAAGCCGAAGGAAATGCAGAAGCAGATGCTCGGCGATGACAAGAAGCTTGCTGCCGCAGCCCTTTCCACAACCTGTCAGACTTCCTCTATCATTTCCCTATGTTGAGTTCGGTCTCCTACTTTGCTTAAGTTTGCGTCACGTCACTTTTATAGCATTTATAGTGTACTAGACTATAGTTTGTAAGCCTCTGAAATAATCTAGCATACATTTTCGTACAGCAAAAGCGAGGCAGAATTTAGGAAGTAGCGAGAAGACGAAGCAATAAGGATTGTGATAAATGAAGTACATAGACGGCTCTTCATTGGCACAGCTTGGAGGGAGTAGTGAGAACGTGGTCAGGCCTTTGCCATCTGCCACAGGTGCAGGTGCAGGCTTCATGCAAACAACAGAAGCTGCCATATGCGTGATCGCAAGGTAGCTGACGGGTCAATCGTCGAGACGATTGGCCGGCGACGGGACATCATCAGCCGTGCCGAATGCAGCTATTATCCGCAGCGAGAGCAATGTCGCTCTCCGGAGACATGGTAGGAGACCTCTCTGATGAGACGATGGTAGATGGGGACGACGAGGTAATGACAGATGGGTTACGGAGAGGCGCGTTAGGTCTGGAGGTGTCGGAGGTGTCTTAGCGAATTAAATAAGCTCCATCGAATTTACTAATATCAACATCTGGCAGCCACTGCACCCTGGTTGCTTCATCTCGGTTTATCTCTCTCATCAAGTCCGCCATAATGGCCTGATATCGTGCCAACCGGCCATCGTCGACAGTGAGGTCCAGGCTAGGAAGCAGCTCTTGGTATTTACGAGGAAGCCTTGGGATCGTCCGAGATATGTCATCTGAGGTGATTTGTGGTGGAGCACGACTTGGAGATTTGAGGACGCCGAGCTGCCATAGTTTGATATAAATACCAAACTTGAGGAACTCGGAGCAGATCGCTCTCCTGGCTCCTGAAGGCTACATCACAAATAGCAAACAGGCATGACATTAGCATCCAACAAATGTATTTGGCACATGAGGAGTTGAAATCAATTACTCACCTGGAGACAGCTCCATATATCCATTATAAGATGGATAGACGATCTAGGAGTAAATTCCTCGACGGTCCACACCTGTAAGACTAGTCGGATATCTTGCACGAACCGAGATAGCTGCTCTTCCAACTCTGCGGTACATTCGGCCCTGTTTACATGCCGATATAAGCTGAATATCATTATTTCAAAGTTGACGAGTGTGTGCTGGGGCCTCTGGTCTATTCTCTGCAGACGATGTGTAATTTTCAAAGGACATGGCTGCTAGGCAAGCACATGCAAGATGGGCATGTCCTTCAGACTCATCCACATGGTAGAGTGAATCTCTGCACCGATCCTCGTCGACAAGGAATTCGCCGAACGAAGCGTGGAGAGGCACCACGCGCCCGAGCTTGTCCATCATCAACACAGAACGCAGGTGGTCCACGATGTAGAAAACATCGTCGACGGACAGATCGCGTCCGTAGAATGCAATGGTCTCGGGATTTGTCCGCCCAAATTCCAGCGTGATGAAACGCAGGAAGAAGGAGAGACGTTCGTGCTCTCGAGGTGAGGCGCGCAAACCTTCCGGAGGAAATGCGGACCGCAGGATCTGCAGATACAGTGCATCGAGAGGTGACATCGCTAGACCCCCACCCGAGAGGACGAGCTCAAACCATTCTTCCGGATGATTGTGATGTTCGTCCAAGAAATTGACGGTGATCCGAGCGAAGATAAATACGCCGGCCGCACGCTTGATGAGGCGTCGAAGGGCGTTCGGGTGCTTCTCGAGGTAATTGCCGTATGAGGGTATCTTCGGTAGAGTCTCTCTGAGGTAACGTCCAACATCACCGTGACTGTTCGTTGCATCCTCCAGTCGCATATGATGGATAACATCGGCTGAGCTGAGGTGTGCAACCACCGACAGGATGTGAGGCTCTGGCCGTGACGCGGCAAAGACGTACAGCCACGGTAACTCGCGAACAAGACCGAACAAGGACCAAAGCAGTTTGGGAACCAGCCTCCTGTCCTTGCACTCGTCTATTCCGTCGATGACAATCAATGTCGGGGCCTGGTCCGCGGGAGCGGCGATGAGAGCCTTCCGAAGGAGCCCGTCGAATGAGTGCTGCATCTGCTGCCGGTCGCCGTGTTTGAGGTACTCACGTGCGGCGCTGATGATATAAGGGCGAAGGGTCGGCTGGGACACTGCAAGCTGGCGTGCGAGCGTCGAGAAAACGAGGTGAGCATCCTCGAGATCTCCGCGGCCGCGGACAAAGAAAAATGATGCGCCGAGTCTGAGCGAAGAACGATCCGCTGCGTCGTGGCGAACACAGAGCTGATGTGAAATCGAAGACTTCCCTAGACCTGCCCCGCCGCTGATGCAGCAGATTCGTTTGGGCTTGTCCTCGGGGAATCGACCAGTCGACCACCGCTCCAGATCCGCGAATACCTCTTTCCGGGTGCCTTGCATGAACCCACTCTTGAGTTCGTCCACCGATCGATATCCTGCGTCTGCTCGAGGAATGGAGTCGATAACTTTCTGGTCCTCTTCGCGAGCATCGGTCAGTCTCTGGATGAAGCGTGCACGAGAGGTTCGCAAATAGACTTACCAGCTTTCTGTTGTTGACGTCGATTCCCTCGTAGCTGTTCCCGCTGTTGACGCTGACTTTTCTGCAACTGCCGCCGGGTTTGCTGTAGAGGGATATTATAGACCAGCCGCCTGAGGTACAAGAGTTTCAGTTGGGCAGCCCAGACACGGGAACTTATTAAGTTACACCGGACTAGCCACCCAGAAGCACCCAAAAGCGGCTAAGACACGCTGAATGAATTTCCGAAAAGCCCAAAAAATGGCACAAGCAGAAATTGAACCCGCAGCCTGAAAGTAACCACAGTGCACTACACCACTAAGGCATAAGACCTTGCAAATATCAGGTTGGAATTGCCCTATAGTACCACTTTTCTACCTTAAAGTCTTAGCTGTAATATTATAGCCAATTATCAGGTATTAAAGCATTGGAATGTAATTGTACAAAGGTATATTCTAATGGCATGGCTAAGACATTGATGTGGCTAAGACACCAGTGTGGCTAAGACATTGAGTCATTAAATATTTGCTATTGATTCTGCTTATTGTACAAATGTATATCCTGATGGCGTGGCTAAGACACTGACGTGGCTAAAACACCAGAGCAGATGAACTATACTCAAGTGGAATCAATAGCAAATATTCAATGTTCCAATGTCTTAGCCACACTAGTGTCTTAGCCACGTCAGTGTCTTAGCCATGCCATTAGAATATACCTTTGTACAATTACATTCCAATGCTTTAATACCTGATAATTGGCTATAATATTACAGCTAAGACTTTAAGGTAGAAAAGTGGTACTATAGGGCAATTCCAACCTGATATTTGCAAGGTCTTATGCCTTAGTGGTGTAGTGCACCATGGTTACTTTCGGGCTGCGGGTTCAATTTCTGCTTGTGCCATTTTTTGGGCTTTTCGGAAATTCATTCAGCGTGTCTTAGCCGCTTTTGGGCGCTTCTGGGTGGCTAGTCCGGTGTAACTTAATAAGTTCCCGTGTCTGGGCCGCCGAACTGAATCAGCTCTGAGGTATCTGTACATGTATTCCACCAACCTTCATATCCTCTGCAACCTCGGTAAGGACTTTCTGGATGGACATCGTGCCTCTAAGCTGCAGTAAGCAAGCGTATGTTAAAGCGTGTATCAAGACTTGGCAAGGTAGACGGACCATGAAAAGGCTCATTGCTTTTGCCATGTCTTCCTTCATGTCCGACAGGATCGCCTGGTCCCGAGACCCGTAGATGAGTCCTTTCAGGAACCCGCGGAACCCTTTCCCACCCTTAAGCTCTCCCGCGCGTCCTTGAAGGTCGTCGATCGTGCTGGCTTGGTGTCAGCTTTGCCTCCGACGGCGATTAGACCCTGAGCGTACCTCTGCAGATCTCTTATCTGATTCTGGATGTCGTCAGAGTGTGTGATCTTGACCAATAGCTCTTCCTTGCCTTGAGCATCACCATCGTACCTTGCCACTGCAGTGTTCACATCGGCTGGCGTCGTGTTGATGACAGTCTTGAGAGCATCGGCCTGAGCTAGGAAGGCACTGCGCGCCCCCTTGTTCTCCCGGACAATCTACAAACGAAGAAGAAATGTCGTAAAGTGCCATTCGTCAGTTGAGTGGGGTCGACACACCTTGACTCTTTCGACGAGCGCGCCGAGCCCCTTTGCGACTAGAGGTAGGCCAGGCACGGGGGCAAGGCTCAGGGCATCACCGGCCAGGTCGAGGATGGGAGAGGCGACACCGAGGGCAACGTCAGCAGCCCCACGGGGCGGCATGGTCGACTATGGTGGACGGTGTAGATAGAATTTGACAGTACAGAAGGGATCAGGCATGAGTCCGCCGCGTTGGTTCACCATGTGCTGGCCTCGTGTACCGACGGCCGTGAGATGGATTGGCGGGTCTCGCTGCGGGCTGTGTGTTAGAGTTTGATAGTATGAAGACGCGTGCTTTCATGTTTTGATATTGGCAGCGCGGCAAGCGCGGAGATATCGGGGGCAGGAGTGCACTGGAGCCTCGGCGTGCCATCTTCAGCTGCTCGCCTGCCAAATGTGGTCACCGTTGCAATGTCTTGGAACAAATCGCCGAGGCCTTGTGGCGTTCGGCCAGAATCCGCCAGAATCCGCCAGCGCTCCCAGCCCCCGCCTGGCTCTGCTCTGTCCTTCGACGTTCGCCACGAGTCGATGTCCGGCCCGCATCAGATGCCAGGCCTTGGAGCGAAGTCTCTGAACATGTCTTACACTCCATCCGCGTCACCTTCAAATCTCTTAACGCTGCGACCGCCCCCGCCTAGAGCTCAAGCTTCAAGCTTCAAGAACCACCATCATATCCTGTCTAAACCGATAGGATCTCTGTCTCAGACCTGTGGCTCTTCAACAAGCCTTTCCGAGGAATACTCGCCTTGTAAGCAGCTCGCACAGTTCGACGGGTAGCCAGACTTGTGTTCTTGGAGCGCCACCTAGTCGCGGGGAGATGTCGTTGGTTGGAAGTATATCTCGGAGCTGCGCTTAGGTGAGTACATGCACCCACTCTTAGTCGACTGCATCCTAAGAAATCACAGCAGAATGACCCCAATGCAGTGTCTATTATCACTATGGCCCGCTCGTGTTCGATTCGCTTTGCGTCGCCAAAGTGGATCCCTTCCCCGGAGCGACGATGGCCGTCAGCGGCATTTGTAGACGCCGTTGCAGGCGCAAACAGAAGGGCACAGCACTGTTGGCGCGGTCTATGTGAGCGCATCCCAGGAGGGCAGGCCACGCTAGACCTCAAGATTCCAAGCTCCGACCCGTTTCGAAAGACCTGTGAGCGGCGTCAGACGGCATATTCGAAGAACAAGCCGTAGCTCTGGGACGACAAGATTTCGCGAGATGCCAGATGTAGTATCGCCGCCTTGATGAACAAGACCACGAAACTACGCGTGGGTAGCTGTGATCCGCCGCTCAGCCCGGTGCATGTTTACACAGTGACCCGGAAGCTTGTACGTTCATCTGGCTCTTGAGGCAAGCTCAGGCCCTCGCGCAGATCCTAGGACTGACAAAGACGAGGGCATCCCTCGCGGAGACGCAAGCGACGAAGAGCCCTTCGCGCTCCTGTCGCTCTATCACGCTCACGACCGTATCCTGGCTTCACTTGTTCCCCGGCCACAGACTTGGACTCAGCCAGATGCGCAAGCCGCTCGAGAGATATATCCTTCCGTCATTGCGCATTAGCCCGAGCGACCGCTATATGGACGCTCGGATGGATAACGACATTGTGATCTGGGCATGTTCGATGACCCTGCGTGTGGACGACGCGAAGCGCACGAAGATTATCATACGGCGGTCGTCGGTCGCCCGTGAGTGCCATCTGTATGTATGTCCATTAGCTGCGAGCACGGCCGCCTGGTGCTCGGCTTGTTTCGCAACACCGAGTGGATTGTGAGTCAAGATGTACTCGGCCCAACCGACGGACCGAGCGGACACCTGGGATTCGAGGCTCGCAGGCTGCACAAACTCTTCGTTCTATATATTCCATTTTATGTAATTTATTTCCTGCAGCAAGCAGAACTGCAGCGACTGGGCGGTCAGGACCGACATTGTAACGGCATTGCTGCTGGCAGTGACGTTTAGCCGTCGCAGGCATCCTTAGGTCTTTCTGTATATCGTCCATGCCTTGGTGCGAACGGTTTATACGAACGACAAGTGTCATAGAGACAGCTTGATGAGGGAAGTATCCTCAGCAGAACGCGCAGCGCGTATGTGCTTGCTCTGCGGGAACTCCACTATAGGAGACCTCTTGTGAATAAAAGCGGGGGATAATATAGACCAATGCCGTGTAATCAGCTGCGGCGAGCCGGGTTAGAATATTGCAATACCAGCAGCACGAAAACTTGAGTATCACGTGGGCGCCTGGCACATTCATGCGAGCGCTCTTTGCACTTGAGCGCTTGAGTTCTCCTGTCTCGAGAGGTCTACCCTCCCATTACCTCGCGCATATCCTGTTGCACTGCGGAAAATGCTCCAGACCTCTTATCGCTGCTGCTCGCATCGACGGCGCTCGTATTGTACTTCTTTAAGCTACATTTACTGCCTATGTAGTCCAGTAGCTCTCGCTCAGTCAACTTGAAGCGCGGTCGTGGAGACTGGTCTCGTGGAAGCCGAGGACCAACGACAGTGGCGAGGTGTACGTTAAGTCTTCGCAATAGAGCTAGTTTGAAAGCTAATGACCACATGCCCCAGCACCTGCCTGGTCGTGTGTGCTCACGTTGGTGCACAAGCATTAAGGCCAGCGCGCGAGGTCGCGCACCTTTGTTCCGTTGCAAGCCCTGAAGGCTCCGGGCGTCGCGATTTGCCTCCGCTGTACCCACGAACAAATTCTGGTCTCGAGTGTCGGGGAAGCACTGATGAAGGCCTAGCAGAGAACTCTCGGGGGCGGTGGTGGGCAGGACAGAAGGGCACAATGCGAGGCACGTGTGCTGCCAGTTCGAACAGGTAAGTGCCTAATCAACTAGGCTATGCTACCGTGCTGATGGTTACTCAGAGTACTGCTACACTTTGGGTACATCTAAGCTCAGAAGTCGAAGTCGCGTATCCCTGCTGCTTTTGCCTACCGTAGTCCGCTTCGCGTGCCATCTCGTGCGTAGAGCCGCATGATGTCGACGGTGCTCCAGAAGGCCAAGGATATCCGAGAGCTGCGAGACCATGAGAGGCACGCGCCTCAGACAAACCACTCAAGGAAGCCAATTCGTCTGACGCACCGGCATTAAACGACACGTCCCACGGGCCGCTGGGTAAGAGCAAGATCGAAGCTGTCTTCTACGAGCTGGAGATCACCGAATGGCACCCAGAAGCTTAGTAAGACTATATCGATCGTACCCTCCATCGACAACGGTGAGCCTGAGCATCGCGACGAGAAGCGGCTGAAGACGAAGGCGGCGGATACCACTCGCAATCAAGGAGGAGATGAAAGGTCCATCATAGCAATACACGACGGCTCTGCAGGCTGAGGGTGTCACTGGTGGCTGACAGTGTGAGCTGTTCAAGGGGCGGACGAGAAGGTAGATGAGCCATCTGGTCGACCGTCATGCTCGTCGCTGATAGCCTCGTCTACAGCTTTACCCTTAATACTACAAGGTCTTCAAGCGGCTGGTTTCCATGTCCACCATCTGCAAACGCGTCACGAGCAGCCATCACAAGCCCGTCCTCGCTTTCTGAGAGCGTCAGTGCTCGATATTCAACGACGCTCAGAGGACACCCAGCCGGGAGGGATTTTGAGCGCACAGCGACGCGGACGAGACGGAGAAGGCCTTCAACGCGACAGTCGATCGCACCATTATTGATAGTTGTCTATCCAGTACGCCTGCTGCTGTTGGCATTGGACATGAGGGATACGACTCCGCACTGACACCGATGGGCGAGGTCGAGCGGCCGCTGGCGAAGTTGAAGAACGTGCGAAAGCAGGGGCTGAGCGACTGAGGACCACACCCAGCGACAACTCCGAGCGGGTTCTCGGCGTTGCAGCCTCCTCTGTCGAACTCGTCTTTGTACTGATTCTTCCTGCACGGCGCAGTCCTACTTGCTTCGCGTGTCATTTATACAATATGTATATTGTACCAAATTGTAATCCGCGGGTTTCTGGAGTAATCAAATACATATTTCTATACAACCATGACAGGGAGTGCGGCAATCGCAGCGAGGAGACGGAAGAATATGAACGATAGGAAGCGTATATGGTTAGCAGGTCCCAGCTCTCTTTTTTCCTTTTCCAAAGACCCTTACGCTAGGTGCGGTAGGCTATTCGTCGGCAGAGCTTGGAGTTAGTAGAGGGAATGCGAGGGCCCTCTGGTATGGGTGCCGGCGGCCGCCATATGCGGAGAGGCGGAGTAACCGACAAGTTCATTAACAGGGGAGTTAACTGGCAGCGGGCCACTATCGGCCGTATCGGGTGCTACATCGTCATTATCAGTGGTGACACCACTACCCCCTGGAGGCCAAGTTGAAAGCGTCTCCGATAGCACAGAGGTGGTGGATGACGATGACGATGTGGCGACGGTTGGGCTATGGGTTGGGCTATGGATAGGCGTGCCGGGCTGAGAGCGATCGGAGTTCCAACCTGCCAAAAGAGCTCGCTCCTCGTTCAAGTCGATACTGTACGTGATGCGCCACATCTGCCCGGTCGCTTCATCTTGATTCATCTGCGTCATGAAATCCGCCATGATGGCCTGATATCGCGCCAAGCAACTGGCGTCGACAGTAAGGTCCAAGCTAGGAAGCAACTCTTGGTGCTCATCAGTACTGACAGTAAGCCCCCGGATTGCCTGAGATATGTCGTCCGAGGTGATTAGTGGCGGAGCACGACTTGAAGATGTGAAGACGCCGAGCTGCCATAGTCTGATATAAATACCAAACTTGACGAACTCAGAGCATATCGCTCTCCTGGCTCCGGAAGGCTACATCATGAATAAACAAGTATGACCATTAGCATATGACAAATATACGCGATACACGAGTAGTTAACGAATTAACGATTACCCACCTGGAGACAGTTCCATAGATGTGGTAAAGAAAAGAAGCTCAATTCACGAGCAAATTCAGCGATCGTCCATATATGGCAGGCCAGTCGGATATCTCGCACGAACTCGGATAGCTGCTCCTCCAATTCCGCGGTATATTTGGCCTGCCCAACATGTATGTTCCAATCTCCCATCGTATGAAAGTTGATCCGTGCATGCTGAGGCTGCCGGTCCTCCGCGTTCTGTAGGTAATATGTGCGATTTTCAAAGGACAAGGCTGCTAGACAAGCACATGCAAGGTGAGCATGTCCTTCAGATTTGTCCACATGGTAGAGCGCATCACTGCACCGATGCTCATCAACCAGGAACTCGCCGAACGAGGCGTGGAGGGGCACCACATTCCCGTCCTTGTTGATCATCAACACGGAACGCAGGCGGTCCACGATGTAAAAGACGTCGCCCACAGACAGTTCGCGTTCATAAAATGCAACAGTCTCCGGAGTTGCGCCAGATTCCAGTGCAATGAAACGCAGGAAAGAGTGGAGACGTTCGCGTTGATGGGGTGAAGCACACAAGTCTTCTGGGGGGAATGCGGACCGTAGGATCTGCAGATACAGCGCGTCGAGAGGAGACGTCGCCGGACTTCCGCCCGAAAGAACGAGCTCGAACCACTCCTCCGGATGATTCCGGTGCATATCCAAGAAATTCACTGCGATACGGGCGAAGATGAATACACCGGCCGCACGCTTGATGAGACGTTCAAGAGAGTCAGGGTGTTTGTCAAGGAAATCGCCGTAGAGGGGTATCTTCGGCACCGTCTCTCTGAGGTAATAGTCTACGTCGCCACCCCAGTCCTCTAGCGTGTCTTCCAGTTGCATATGATGGACGATGTCGGCAAAGTCGGGAGATGCGAGCACCGACAGTATATGGGGTTCCGGGCGCGATGCGACAAAGATGTACAGCCAGGGAAACTCGCGGACAAGACTGAGCAACGATCGAAGCAAGTCAGGAACGAGCTCCCTGTCCTTGCATTCGTCTATCCCGTCGACGACGAGCAATGTCGGCGCCTGGTCCGCGGGAGCGGCGATGAGAGCTTTCCGAAGGAGCCCCTGGAGCGCGTGTTGCATCTGCTGCTGCTCGCCATGCTCGAGATACTCCCGTGCGGCGCTGACGATATGGGAACGAAGGGCTAGTCGGGTCCGCGCAAGCTGGCGTGTAAGGGTTGGGAAGAATAGGCGAGCGGATTCCAGATCTCCGCGCCCACGGACGAAGAAGAACGATGCGCCGAGCCTGAGCAGGGGCTGGTCGGCTGCATCGAGACGAACGCAGAGTTGGTGGACAATCGACGACTTCCCCAGGCCCGCTCCGCCGCTGAGGTAGTAAGCTCGTTTGGGCTTGTCCTTGGGGAATCGGCCAGCTGACCACTGCTCTAGCTCCGCAAACAGCTCTTTCCGGGTACCTTGCATGAACCCGCTCTTGAGTTCGTCCACAGACCGGTAGCCTGCATCTGCCCAAGGAATCGAGTCCACAATCTTTCGGTCTTCTTCAGGAGCGGTGGTCAGTCAGTCCCTAGGTCGAAGCGTGCGCGAAAGCCTTGTGAATAAACTTACCAGCTTCCTGTTGTTGACGTCGATTCTCTCGTAGTTGGAGTTGCTGTTCCTGTAGCTGACGTTGATTTTGCTGCAATTGATCTTGAATTTGCTGTAGAATGCTGTCATGGACAAGCCATCTGAGATAGCCGCATCGTACGAACCTTCGTAGTCCGTGCAACGCCGTCGAGGATACTCTCAATGGAAATTGACCCGCTGAGCTGGTCCAAGCACGCATCCATCAGAATGTGCATTAATGAGCTGATGAGGTCGGCGTACCTTGAACAGGCCTATTGCTCTCGTCATCTCTTCCTTCATGTCCGATAGGATGTCTCGGTTCTCAGACGCGTACACGAGCTTCTTAACGAACCCGCGGAATCCTTTACCACTCTTCAGCTCTCCCGCACGTTCCACAAGCCCGTCGATTGTACTGGCTTCCTCTCAGCGACGCTACTCAAGCCAGCGCGCCCTCGACGCACCTCTGCAGATCTCGTACTCGCTTCTGAAGCTCGCTAGATTTGATCTCGCCCAGCAGCTGTTCTTTGTCATGCGTGTCACCGTCGTACCCCGCGACTACGACGTCCACCTTCGTCGCTGTCGTGTTGATGACGGCCTTCAGTTCGTCGACCTGAGCAAGGAAACCACTACGCTTATCGTCGACCTCTCGAACAAGCTGCAGGTAATGACGGGGTATCATTATCTCATTCGTACCATCGCTGGGATTCACTTACCTGGACCCTTTCGACAAGGAGACTTAGCCCCACGGCGAGGGTGGGCAAACCCGGTACGACGTCGAACGCACTCTCCGCTATCTTGAGCCCACTAGAGGCAATGTCGAGGCCGACACCGACAGCTCTGCGAGAAGGCATGGTCTGTCGATGGTGAGCAGTGCAGAGAAGGGAGAGGGCATAAGTTATCGTCGTGCACCGACGGTTATGGGCACGTGTACGCGCTGGCGGGGAAGGTACTCCTTCGCTGGAGGCTGTGTGCTAGGGTTTGATGATGCGAAGGCGGGACTTTGCCCGGCTGTCCTTCTGGCATGCTTCAATATCGGCGCTGCAGACGCGGGAATGTCAAGCTCAAAGCGACGCGCCGGTCAAGACGTCGAGCATTCCCAGGCCTGTGTTGCGCCGCATGGTACGACGTTGCGAAAATCTTGGGTAGCCAACAAGGGCCATGGGGACGGTGACGGTTTAATGAGAGTGGTGCTCTCAGCGAACGCGCAGCGCGTCTTAGCAAAACACGGTCAAGTTTCTCGAAGAGTTTTCACGACCAAGAATGGGAAATGGCCGGAATATATATATAGATTATCAAATATTTATCTTCAGCGGGATTGGAACTCAGTACTCAGTACTCAGTACGTCTGCGATGCTAAGTTGTGAGTACAAAAACTCACAGCAGATGTGAACTCAGAGCCTAGTACTAGTGGCCTTCACGCGATTTGTGAGCGCCGGTCGCATGAACGCGTCCACTTCCTCTTGTTCTCCGCCCTCGAGATGCTTACGCTTCACTATCACTATCTTGCACAGTTTCCATTGGAGATGGTCTCATACTTATTGCCACTGCCGTTAGCATTGAAGGTGCCCGCGGCGCAGCTCTCAAAGCCGTCCCACCATCCGTGAGCGCGTAAGGTCTCGGTCGACCAACTGAAGTGCAACGGGGGTACTGGTCTCGCAGCAGCCAGTGACCAGTGACAATGGCGACGCGTACGCAGATCTTCGCTGTGGAGCCGATTTGAAAGCTAACTAGTATGCACCTCAGTACTCACAAGCCCGCGTCGACACACGAGCATCGGCCAGCGAGATCGCGCACCTGAACAGGACAATCCCTTCGTTGCAAGCCTCGCAAGATACTGGCACCGCGTGTTACCTTCATTATGACTGCAAACATATCCTGGGCTCAGCTATCGAGGAAATATCGAAGGAGACCTGGCAAAAGTCCTCGAGAGCGGTGGTGGATAGAAGGACACAAAGCGAGGCTCGTGTGCTGCCAGTTTGGGCAGGTGTGTGTGCAATTAGCTGCCATATCCCTCTGTGCTGATTGCTGGTCAGGTTGATGTTACACATTGCGAACGTCTAAATACGAAAGTTGAAGCCGTGTGTCTCACGGCTACTTTCGCCTCCCATGGACTTCTTCCCGCATTGTCCCGCGCAGAGATGTTCAAGTTCACACTTTGTACGTCTGTGATATCAACTGGTAATACTTGGTATGTTGCAAGAGAAGAAGAGACGCAAGAGGAGACAGCGTTGCGGGAAAGAGGACACGCCGGCCCTGATGCAGCCACCACGCCAGGACGACGTTCTATACCGCCCACAGAAGACGAGCAGCAACGGCTGTCACGAGCCGAGCTCGAATGAGTCGAACGGCTCTGACCCCGACTGGGCGAACAGGTCGACGCACCCGCCCCCGACGAAGTGAGTCGCGAGCCCCGCACGCCACCCGCCCGCGCACACTGTCAACGAGGACTGCAACGGAGACGACGCAGCTACGGAAGTGCTCATGAACATGGATAACTCGTACCGCGGTGACCCAAGCGATCCGCGCAGCTTCGGTGCCCCATCAGCGGAACCGCTCGCTCTCCACCCGACACCCATGGTTGTTCCCCGCCGCAGATGCCTCCACTCCATGGTGAAGCACCCAGCGATGCACAAGAGCTCGTCTCGCCGAAGCGTCTACTCATCCCTGGGCCTGAAGATTCGAACGTCGAGCCCAAGCGGTCACGCGTCGACAGCACTAGCAGGCGCATATCTTCTCCTTCTGCGTAGGCCCCGTCGTCGACTCGGCCTTTGCCTGTGTCGTTCTGCCACCAGCCGACGACGCACGCATCGCATCGCCCGAGATGAGGCTAGGCGCGCAGCGCCAGCCGTTCGACACCCCGCCGAGCTCGACGCTGACGATGACGCTGTGACTGCACCTGTGGCCGATCGGGTCGATGGACGCAGGGTTCGTGGTGGGGGCACACTCTGAGCCGGGCCATCGCTGTCTTCTGGCGCGGTGCGGTCGTCGCCTAGCCTGTTACCGACGGACTTGGACCTGCGGGTGCGCGACTCGCGGTCAAACTCGCCGAACGCGCAGCGGATGCTGGCCACACGGGAGATCATCGTTCATCCCGCGCGGCCGCCACCAGGGCCGGCACGCATGGGCACGCCCTTGCCTGCGTTGAGCCGTGGCGGCCACAGGATGGTCATGTCGTGACTTCTAGTTTCGTTGCTGTGTCAGCCATCTTTTCTTTATGCCTCCTGCACGCATTTCATACGTACTCATTGACATGGCCCAGCTCTTTCCCGTTGTCGTTGTCGTCATTCAGTCAGTCTATCACATGGCAGATTGTCTTCATCGTTTTTCCTCACACGCGGAGTGCTCTTGGTCGCTCCGTCGATTTCGTTACCCTCACGCTGTAACCCTTTAGAAATTGAAGTAGATGATGAGAGGTCTTCAATGCGAGGTTCAACCACGCCACTGTCGACAGTGGCTCGCCGCTACTGGCATTGGTCTGAGGCGTATGACTCTGCGTTGACGCAGGTGGACGAGGACGAACGGCCATCACCGAAGTCGAAGAACGTGCGGAAGCAGGTGCTCGGCGAAGACAAGTAGCTCGCTGTTGCAGCTCCTTCTATGATCTGTCGGACTTCCTCTATCGTCTCCCTATGTTGAGTCTGTCTCCTACTTTTTTTTTGCGTCACGTCACTTTTTAGAGCATTTATATCGTATTAGACTATAATTCGTAAGCCTCCGAAATAATCTTGCATGCATTTCCGTACAGTAATAGTGAGAGAGAATTTGGGAAGTGACAAGAAGACGAAGCAATGAGAATTACGAGGAATGTACATGGTCGGAGGGAGTACTGGGAAAGCGGTTGGACCTTTGCTGTCTGCGGGTGCAGGTGCAGGCTCCGTGTGAATGGCAGAAGCTGCCATATGCGGGATCGCAAGATAGCTGACGGATCAATCGTCGAGACCATTGGCCGGCGATGGGACATCATTAGCGGTGTCGGATGTGGCACTACCACTACTGGCAGCAAGGATAGTGTCGCTGTCCGGAGACAGGGTAGGAAACTTCTCTGATGAGACGGTGGAGGATGAAGACGACAAGGTAGTGACAGATGGGTTACGGAGAGGTGTGTTGGGTCTGGAGGTGTCGGAGGCGTCTTGGCGAATTAAATAAGCTCCGTCCAAATCACTAATATCGTAACCCATCAGCCACACCTCTCTGGTTGCTTCATCTCGGTTCATCTTCATCATCAAGTCTGCCATGATGGCCTGGTATCGTGCCAAGCGGCCATCGTCGACAGTGAGGTCCAGGCTAGGAAGCAACTCTTGGTATTGTTCAGGAAGCCTTGGGATCGCCCGAGATACGTCGTCCGAAGTGATCTGTGGCGGAGCACAACTTGGAGATGCGAAGACGCCGAGGTTCCATAGTCTGATATAAATACCAAACTTGAGGAACGCGGAGCAGATCGCTCTCCCGATTCCTGAAGACTACAACACAAATAACACGCAAATATGACATTAGCATCCAACGGATACATGTGGCACATGAGTGGTTGAAATTAATCACCCACCTGGAAACAGTCCCATATATACTGTATAGAATAGCTGGGCAATCCGGGATCAAATTCTCTGATGTTCCACATATGGAATGCCAGTCGGATATCTTGCACGAACTGAGATAGATGCTCCTCCAACTCCGCGGTACATTTGGCCTGCGAAACATGCTCCCACCAGCTGCGTGACATTATATCAAAGTTGACGTGTGCGTGCTGGGGCCGCTGATCCGGTTCCTGTCGACGATATGTATAATTTTCTAAAGACATGGCTGCCAGACAAGCACATGCAAGGTGAGCATGTCCTTCAGATTCGTCCACATGGTAGAGCGAATCACTACACCGATCCTCGTCGACAAGGAATTCGCCAAACGATGCGTGGAGGGGCACCACGCGCCCGCGCTCGTTGATAATCAACACAGAACGCAGGTGGTCCACGATGTAGAAGACGTCGTCGACGGACAGATCGCGTCCGTAGAATGCAACGGTCTCGGGACTTGTCCACTGAGATTCCAGTGTAATGAAACGCAGGAGGAAAATGAGACGTTCGCGTTCTCGAGGCGAGGCGCGCAAGTCTTCCGGGGGGAATGCCGACCGCAGGATCTGCAGATACAGCGCATCGAGAGGTGACGTCGCTGGACCCCCACCCGAGAGGACAAGCGAAAACCATTCCTCCGGATGATTGTGATGTTCGTCCAAGAAATTCACGGTGATCCGGGCAAAGATGAATACACCGGCCGCACGTTCGATGAGACGTCCAAGGGCATCCGGGTGCTTCTCGAGGTAATCGCCGTATGACGGCATCTTCGGCAAAGTCTCCTCGAGGTAACGCCCGACATCATCCTCACTGTTCGCTGCATCTTCCAGTCGCATATGATGGACAACATCGGCCGAACTGGGGTGTGCAAGCACCGACAGAATGTGGGGCTCCGGCCGTGACGCAGCGAAGACACACAGCCACGGTAACTCGCGGACAAGACCGAACAAGGACCGAAGCAGTTCGGGGACCAGCTTCCTGTCCTTGCACTCGTCTATTCCGTCGATGACAATCAATGTCGGTGCCTGGTCCGCGGGAGCGGCGGTGAGAGCCTTCCGAAGGAGTCCCTCAAATGAGTGTCGCATCTGCTGCCGGTCGCCGTGTTTGAGATATTCGCGTGCGGCGCTGACAATGAGAGGGCGAAGGGTCGGCTGAGACACTGCAAGCTGGCGTGCGAGAGTCGAGAAGACGAGGTGCGCGTCTTCGAGGTCGCCGCGTCCACGGACGAAGAAGAATGATGCGCCGAGTCTGAGAGAGGAGTCTTCCGCCGCGTCATAGCGGACGCACAGCTGGTGGGAAATCGATGACTTCCCCAGACCCGCCCCGCCGGTGAGGTAGCAGACTCGTTTGGGCTTGTCCTCAGGGAATTGACCGGTTGACCACTGCTCTAGCTCCGTGAACAGCTCCTTCCGGGTGCCTTGCATGAATCCGCTCTTGAGTTCGTCTACTGATCGATAGCCTGCATCTGCTCGAGGAATGGAGTCGATGACTTTCTGGCCCTCTTCACGAGCGTCGGTCAGTCTCTGAGCGAATCGTGCACGAGAGGCTCGCAAATAGACTTACCAGCTTTCTGTCGCTGCTCCTCTTGTTGACGTTGATTCTCTCGTAGCTGTTCCTGTTGTTGACGTTGATTCTCCCGTAGTTGATGTTGGTGTTCCTGCTGTTGACGCTGATTTTCCTGCAACTGCCGCCGGGTTTGCTGTAGAGCGATATTATAGACCAGCCGCCATTGCCAACTGTATTCCACCAACCTTCATATCCTCTGCAACCTCGGTAAGGACTTTCTGGATGGACATTGTGCCTCTGAGCTGCAGTAAACAAGCATATGTCAAAGCGCGCATCAAGAGTCGGCAAGGTCGACGGACCATAAAAAGGCTCATCGCTTTTGCCATGTCTTCCTTCATGTCCGACAGGATCGCTTGATTCCGAGACCCGTAGATGAGTCCTTTCAGGAACCCGCGGAACCCTTTCCCACCCTTGAGCTCTCCCGCGCGCCCTTGAAGGTCGTCGATCGTGCTGACTTAGTTTCAGCTTCGCTTCTGACGGCGATTAGACCCTGAGCGCACCTCTGCAGCTCGCTTATGTGATTCTGGAGGTCGCCAGAGTGCGTGATCTTGTCCAATAGCTCTTCCTTGTCGCGAGGGTCGCCATCGTACCCTGCCACTGCGGCGTTCACATTCGCTGGCGTCGTGTTGATGACAGTCCTGAGCGCATCGGCCTGAGCTAGGAAGGCACTGCGCGCCCCCTTGTTCTCTCGGACAAGCTACAAGCGAAGAAGGAACGTCGTAGTGTGCTATTCGTCAGTTGAGTGGGGCCGACGCACCTTGACTCTCTCGACGAGCGCGCTGAGCCCCTTTGCGATGAGAGGTAGGCCAGGCACCGGGGCGAGACTCAGGGCATCACCGGCCAGGTCGAGAATGGGAGAGGCGACACCGAGAGCAACGTCAGCAGCCCCACGGGGCGACATGGGCGACTATGGTGAGTGTGTCGTGGACGGTGTGGGCAGACCTTCACAGTATAGAAGGGAGCGGGCGATGCATGGATTTACCTTGTGTTGGCCTCGTGTACCGACGGCTATGAGAGGTGGATTGACAGGGAAGCTGATGTCTCGCTGCAGGCTGTGTGTTAGAGTTTAATAGTATGAAGACGCATGTCTTTTATGCTTCGGTATTGGCGCGGAGATATCAGGGGCAGGAGTGCACTGGAGCCTCGGCGTGCCATCTTCAGCTGCTCGCCTGCCAAATGTGGCCACCGTTGCAATGTCTTGGAACAAATCGCCGAGGCCTTGTGGCGTCCGGCCAGGATCCGCCGGCGCTCCCGGCCCCGGCCTGGTTCTGCTCTCCGCCATGAGTCGATCTCCGCTCCGCATCGGATGCCCCTCCACAGATTCTTCCAGGCCTTGGAACGGCGCCTCTGAACATGTCCTACACTCCATTCGAGTCGCCCTATCTGCTAACGCTGTGGGCGGCCCGCCCTCACAGGCCCAGAGCCTCGGAGCTAGAAGACCACCATTACTTATATCCTGTCTAACCCGATACGACCTCTGTCTCGGACCTTAGGCTCCTCAATAGGCTTTTCGGTCGAGTACCCACCTTCCAGGCCAGACCCGTATTCTTGGAGCGCCAGCAGGGAGGGAAAGGTTACTGGTCAGAAGTGTATTACGGAGCTGGGGCTAGGTGCGCACATGCATACACTCACTCTCAGTCGACTTCCTTCTAAGAATCCACAGCAGAATGCCCCGAATACAGCATCTCATCTCACAATGGCCCACTCGTGTGCGATTCGCTCTGAGCCGCCAGAGTACTGAGAGTAGATCCCTTCCCCGGAGCGACGCCGACGACAGTCGTCAGCGGAACAATTTAAGACTCGGCCACAGGCGCTAGCAGAGAGGGAGCTATTTGCGATATCTACGAGAGCGCATGTCAGGAGGGCTGGCTGCACTATGCCTCAAGATCCCAAGCTCCAGCTCATTCGAAAGGCCGTCGTATTCGAAGAAAAGAGCCGTAGCTCGGGGACGACAGAATTCAACGAGCCGCGGTATACAGTATCGCTGCTTTCATAAGCAAGCCCATGGAATTGCGAGTGGGCAGCTGTACTCTGCTGTGTAGCCCAGTGCATTTTTGCACATTGACCCAGAAGCTTGTACGTTTGTCTGGCTCTCGAGACAAGCTCCAGCCCTCACGTAGATCTTAGAACTAGCGAGTATCATTGGCGGAGACGCAAGCGCGATAAGAACCCTTCGCACTCATGTCGCTCTATCACGCCTACGGCCATGTCCTGGCTTCACTCCTTCCCCAGCCGTCAATGAGCGCCGACTTGGACTCGGCCAGATGCGCGAGCTGCTCGCCAAGCATACCCGTCCGTCATTGTACATCAGCCCGAAACATCGCTCTCTCGCCGTTCGGATGGATATCGATATTATGGTCCGAGTGTACTCGACAATCGTGCGCGCGGACGACGCAAAACGCACGAAGATTTTCGCATAGCGGTCGTCGGTCGGCTGAGAGCTGCGCTTATATGTATGTTCTCCCATTGGTTGTGGACATGGCTGCCTCCTACTCAGCTTTTTTTTTTCGCAGCGCTGAATTGGAATACGAGTCAGAGCGCACTCGGTCCACCCGATGAACCGAGCTAACACCCAGGCTTCGAGGCCCCGGCCGCGCAAAGTCTTCGTTCTATATTCTTTCAGCGACCAAGACCGCGGCGACTGGGCGACCAGGGCCGACGTCGTAACGGTCGCTGCTGGCGCCGACGTTTACCCAGAGCAGGTTAGGCATTGTGTCATCCATACCTCGGCACGAATAGCTTACGTGAAAAATAAGTGTCGCGGGGCTTAACGAGGGAAATAACCTCAGCAGAACGTACGGGGCGTTGCAGGACCTGAAATTACGTGCGCTTGTTAGTGGGAAACGTACTGTAGGTGACCTCTTGTGACCAAAAGCGAGGAATAATATAGACGAGTGTCGAATAATCAGCTGCAGCGAGTCAGGTTAGAACACCCACAATACCAGGAGCACGCGAACTTTGGTACATCTTGGAGAGCAGTCGTCTGCTCTGATCTGCAAATGTGTCACGAGCAGCCAACAAGCCTGTCCTCGGTTTCCGAGCACACTGGCACTGGCGCTCACAACGCTCAGAGGATGCACAGCTGGGAGGGATCACGAGCGCGAAGCGATGCAGACGAGATGGAGAAGGTCTTCATCACCATTGCCGACGTCTACTTGGTGTGCTTGCTACCATTAGCACTGTGCCTGAGGCATGCGATTTTGCGCTGACCCCGGTAGACGGGAACAAGCGGTCGCCGAGGAAGTTGAAGGATATGCGGAAGTAGGTGCTCGGAGGACCTCATGCCAGACAATGATTTTGCCATCGCTGCCTTCATCATTGACTTCTCCCACCGTCTCTTCCTACAGCGCAAGCATTTTGATTCCGTGTGCCATCTATATAATGCGACGTATCGTACTAGATCATAGTCAGCGAGTCTTTAGAGTAATTTAACGTGTGTTTATATACGACTGCAAACGGCAATAACAGCAGAAAGACGGAGGAATACAGAAAATAAGAAATGTGCATGGTTAGTAAGTTTTAGCTCTCTTTTCACCTTCTCCCAAGGCCCTCGCGCTAGGTGCCGTGGGCTCTTCTTCGGCAGAGCTCGGAGTAGGTGGTGAAAATATGGAGGACAGTTCTTCGTCTGCGGGTGTGGGTGCACGTCTGGTGTGAATGCCAGAGATCGCAATACGTGAGGTCGTAGGGCAAGCGACAAGTCCACTGTCAGGAGGAGCGACTGGTGCCGTACCACCATTTCCAGCAGAAGGGACGGTGTCGCCGTCCAGGGCGGGTTCGGAAACCATCTTCGGTGTGACAGAGGTGATGGATGAAGACGACGGGGTGGTGACAGTTGGGCTATGGAGAGGCACGCTGGGCTGAGAAGGGTCGGCATCCTGACCTGCCAAACGAGTTTGCTCCTTGTCCACATAGATATCCTTGCACCACAGCTCCCTTGTTGCTTCATCTCGGCCTATCTTCGTCCAAAGGTCTGTCATGATGGCCTGATATCGAGTCAAGCGGCTGTCGTCGACAGTGAGGTCTAGGACAGGAAGCAAGTCTTGATACTCATGCGGAAGCCTTGAGATTGCCTGAGATATGTCGTCCGAGGCGATTTGTGGTGGAGCACGACTTGGAGACGTGAGCACGCTGAGCTGCCACAGTTTGACATAAATGCCAAATTTGAGGAACTCAGAGCATATTGCTTTCCTGGCTCCGGAAGGCTGCAAAATAAATAATAAAACCATTAACATATGACAAATATATGCGGCACATGATTAGCTGAGATTGATTACTCACTTGAAGATAGTCCCATATACACCGTATACCATAATCATACAAGCCAGGACTAAACTCTATGACGATCCACATGTGCAATGCCAGTCGAATATCTTGCACGAACTGAGAGAGCTGCTCCTCCAGCTTCACAGTATGTTTGGCAAGCTGGACATGTCCCCACCAGCTACCTACCATGATATGGAAGTTGACGCGTGCGTGCTGGGGCCGCGCGTATGGTTCCTGCAGGCAGTATGTGCGATTCTCAAAAGACATAGTCGCTAGACAAGCACATGCAAGGTAAGCGTGCCCTCCAGACTTGTCCACATGGTAGAGCATATCGCTGCAGCGGTGCTCATCGACAAGGAACTCGCCGAACGACGCGTGGAGGGGCATCACATCTCCGTCCTTGTCGATCATCAACACAGAGCGCAGACGGTCCACCACGTCGGAGACGTCGTCGGCTGACAGATCGCGCTCGTAAAACGCAACGGTCTCGGCATTTATCCAGGAAGATTCCAGGGCAACAAAACGCAGGAGGAAGATCAGACGCCTGTGTTCAGAAGGTAAGGCGCACAAGTCTTCGGGGGGAAATGCAGACCGTAGGATTTGCAGATACAGCGCGTCGAGGGGCGACGCCGCTGGACCCCCGCCCGAGAGGACAAGCTCAAACCATTCCTTCGGATGACTGTGATGTTCGTCCAAGAAATTCACAGTGATCCGGGCGAAGATAAATACGCCGGCCGCACGTGAGACGAGGCGTCCAAGGGCGTCTGGGTGCTCGTTGAGGTAATCGGCATAGGAGGGTATCTTCGGTACGGTCTCCTTCAGGTAATGCTCGACGTCACCGTCCCTGTTCGCTGCATCCTCCAGTCGCATATGGTGAAGAACATCGGTGCAGTCGGGAGACGCGAGCACCGACAGTATGTGGGGTTCCGGGCGCGATGCGGCAAAGATATACAGCCACGGTAATTCGCGGACGAGACTGAACAAGCATCGAAGTAACTCGGGAACTAGCCTTCTGTCCTTGCACTCGTCTATCCCATCAATGACGATCAGCGTCGAGGCTTGATCTGCGGGAGCGGCGATGAGAGCCTTCCGAAGGAGCCCGCCGAACGCGTGTTGCATCTGCTGCCGGTCGCCGTGATTGAGGTACTCACGTGCGGTGCTGACGATGTGAGGGCGGAGGGTCGGTTGGGAGGCCGCAAGCTGGCGTGTGAGAGTCGAAAAGACGAAGTGGGCGTCCTCGAGGTTCCCGCCACCGCGGACGAAGAAGAATGACGCGCCGAGCCTGAGCGAAGGATGATCCGGCGAGTCGTGGCGGACGCACAGCTGGTGGGAAATCGACGACTTCCCCAGACCTGCCCCGCCAGTGAGATAGCAGGCTCGTTTGGGCTCGTCCTCGGCAAATCGGCCAGCTGACCACTGCTCTAGCTCTTCGAATAGTCCTTCCCGAGTGCCTTGCGTGAATCCGCTCTTGAGTTCATCCACCGACCGATAGCCTGCGTCTGCCCGAGGAATGGAGTCAATAACTCTCTGGTCCTCTTAAGGGGCGGTGGTCAGTCCCTGGGTGAAACGTGCACGAGTGGGTCTCGAATAGACTTACCAGCTTCTTGTTGTCGACGCTGATTCTCCCGTAGCTGACGCTGGTGTTCCTGTTGTTGACATTGATTCTCTCGTTGATTCTCTTGTAGTTGGCGCTGTAGCTGTCGCTGATCTTCCCGCATTTGGTCTTGAATTTCCTGCAAAGCGGCGTCATGGACAAGCCATATGAGATGGCTGCATACCACAAACCTTCGTATCCTGCGCGACTTTGTCAAGGATATTCTCAATAGATATTGAGCCGCCGAGCTGAAGCAAGCATGTGTCAAAACGCGTATCCCGTATCAAGAGTCAATGAGGCCTGCGCACTTTAAACAGCTCTAATGCCCCTGCCATCTCTTCTTTCATGTCTGACAGGATTGCTTGGTTCCGAGGCCCGTAGATGAGTCCCTTCAAGAACCCGCTGAACCCGTTCCCGCCCTTCAGCTCCTCCGCGCGTCCTTGAAGCTTGTCAATTGTGCTGGTTTGGTTTTTGGCTTCAAGTTGGCGTCGGACAGACAGTGGCCAGATCCCGAGCGCACCTCTTCAAACTTTCTATCCGCTTCTGCAGGTCGTCGGAGTGCTTAATCTTGTCTAACAGGTCTTTCTTGTCCTGCGCGGCGCCGTCGTACCTGGTGACCACGGCCTTCACATTCGCTGGCGTCGCGTCAATAACAGCCTTCAGTTCGTCTGCCTGAGAAAGGAAAGCACTACGGGCCCCTTTGTTTTCCCGAACAATCTACAAACAAAAAAGAGGCGTTGTAGAGTGTCATTCGTCAGTTGAGTGAGGTCCACGCACTTTGACTCTCTCGACGAGCATGCCGAGTCCCTTGGCAATTAAAGGTAGGCCTGGCAGGGGGACAAGCCCTAGGGCATCACCAGCTAGGTCGAGGATCGGAGTGGCGACATCGAGGGCAACGTCAGTAGCCTCAGAGGACGACATGGACGACAATGGTGTGTGTGCCGCGGACGGTGTGGGGAGACTTTCACGGTACAGAAGGAAACGTGCTTGGAATCCTCATGCGCTGACCTCGTGTGCCTGCCCACGGTCATGAGACATGGATTGGCAGAGAAGCTGATCTCTCGCTGCAGGCTGTGTTGGCGAACCCCGGCCGGACGCCACAAGGCCTCAGCGATTTGTTCCAAGACATTGCATTGAGCAGACGAGCTAGCTGGAGATGGCACGCTGAGGCTTCAGGCTTAGTGGTTGAGGGTCCAGTCCTAAGGACCGGTCGGGACCGGGACTTGGACTGAGACTGGACTGATCAGGACTGGGCATGGTCCAGTCCTACATCAGTCCAGCCTTGGTCACAGTCCTTGGTCCTAGATGGTGCTGGGTGCTTTTAGGACTGGTCATGACTGGTCAGGACCAGTCACGGACCAATATAAAGTAACAAAAATGCAGCACCCAGAAAGCAGCTTGGCTACTGGTACATGTATATCTTAGTAATTTCTGAACTGCAACCATGCCCTTGTAGGCTTGTCCAAGTACACAGCCAGCTTAAGCACAGATTAATACATTTTTTAAACTCCTTTTATGATTTATTCAAGTTTGGATGTGGTTACTGCACATAATCAGCTAAAGCCATGACTATGGGAAGATGGAGCCTGAGCTTAGAGATTACAAGGCTCTCAAGGATATGAAGGTTTTATACAGAAATGCTGAGAATGATGAAAGTGGTGCATGATACCCTTCTTCTCTATTTAGAATCCAGCTGTGTGAGCAGAGCATTGTTTTCTTTGCTGAATATAGTAATGTGCAGGCTTGGCTCAAAGCTTGCAAGCCCAGCCCAAAAAAGCCTGACCTGAGCCTGGCCTGGCAGTGAGCTCAAGGCCAGGCTTGAGTCAGTGGGCGGTCCCTGCCAGTGTGAACTTATTCTAAGCTTGGCAACTTGGGCAGGGCTCAGGCTCAGGCTTGGGGTCAGGACTCAGCCCAACATTGCCACGAGCCCAATCCTGGGCTTTAAGCTCAAGCCGGGCCTGCATATCACTAGCTGAATATTTGTTTTGATTTTAAACCGTACGGTGTTCACCGGCGCCTTGTGCGCACATTGTTTACCTATATTTGCCCATATACAATATTGCCTTTCATTCATATGCATGACATAACGTGAAGTAGCTGTCTACCTGCCAAATACATCTCTTGAACCTTAACAACACAGACCACAGCTGTGGCTATTTTTTTGAGCCCCTGCCTTTGAGTTCATCAAATATTCAGCCATGTCAAACACTCCCTCAATATCAGACTCTATGCAACAGTATTTCTGTGATGCCTTACAGTACATAAAGACAGTCTGGCAATGCATGAATGGTATATAGCACTTCTGAGATAGGCATCTGGTACACTCTTCTGGCCTTCTTGGGACTTACACACCATCTCCTCTTTGAATTATTAGGCTGAGTAGTGTGGTCTCAAAACTGATTTGTCCAGAAATTAGCTTAGTATACTGCTAGTCTACCTGTACATGCAGTTCAAAATCAAAATTTGTTTATTTGTGTCATATTTATCAGGGCAGGACTGGTCTGAGCTGGTCTGAATCGGTCTAAGACCGCATTTGGTCCTAGACTGGTCATGACCGGTCCAGGACTGCACGGAGGACTGTACAGGACCAGGACCCAGTCTTGGTCCGGTCCTGCACAAACAGATGCTGGTCCTTGACCAGTCTGAGTCCTGGTCCCACCCAATTTTTTAAAAAGACCAGACTGGACCGGACCCTCAGCCACTATTCAGGCTCCCTTGCCGTACCGTCTTGCACGACATCTTCGCGCCTGCAGCGTCAATATCGCAGCATGAAAGGCACGCGTCTTCATACTATTAAACTTTAACCGCTCTCAGCCCCGACCGGGCTCTGCTCTACCCTTCGTCTACTATGAGTCGATCTTCGCACCGCATCAGATGGCCTTCCACAGACTCTTCTACAGTGCTTTGCAGGCCAATCTGCAGTCGCCGAAAATTTTACACCTGTTTATCCCGTACAAATTAATACCATATCAGTACTGAATCAGTCATGACAGAATAAGTCACAGTGGAGAACTCTTGCAATGCATACTGTCTAGGTGCGAAGCTCATTTATATTCCACCACACTCTCCGGACTTCAACCTCATTGAGGAAGCATCCTATGACATCAAGCCCTGGCTTCACCTCCATGAATCTGAGGCGGTAGATGCTGCTGTCCGACCGTCAGAAAGCTGGTACTTATGATTAAGCTATGCATTGAGTTGATTCACCAGCAAATCCTTCGACACACTCTGCCTCGGCGTGCTGGAACAAACAACTGTGACTGTCCGTGACTCGCGGTGACTGACCTAGTACTACTTATGGTATTAATTTGTACGGGACAAACATGTGTAAAATTTTCGGCGACTGCAGATTGGCCTGCAAAGCACTGTACACCGCCGTCGTGTACATAACTGACAGTTTACAATCAAAATGATTGAACAAACGCCTGACTGGTCTGATGCTACTCGGCAGACAGCCAGGAGTACAGGCACGAATTCAATTTGCTAACCGTTAAGTCTCTATTTGTGCCTGGCAGGCTAGCCGTTCGCCTAACAGATTCCTGAGTGTGAGGAAACGAGCTCTTCCAACTTGCAACCGTAGCTACGAGCCTACTTCCTGCTAATAAAATATTGGAAGCTTCCTGAGGGCAGTAACTAACCTTACTTGCATCTTTGTTGCATCCAAAATAATTTTCTCACTGCGAACGAAGGATGTGTCCAATGAAACGACTGACTTTGCAAATGCTTCAAGCCTTTGAGCCCGGGACAGCTTTGAACTCCGCTGATGCTCGGCATGCATCGGCATTCCCTCGGTGTGGTTCAAGCGCTTCTTGTCTGCCACGTCTCTTCCTCTCCCACCCTCCATTCACCTCGCATATACCTTCACTGTATCTTCCTTAAGCTACGGTACAAATCAGGTTGTGCTACAGCTCAAGGAGTAGCTTCCTGAGTGATATGTCCTTTGGTTCAGCAGTGCCTACACTACTCTGACAGGTATGTCACCATATATTCTGTGGTAGTCACAGCTGACGATTATCTAGATGTGTAATCATATGTAGCTGACATGTCGGATGATAGGTGTCACTCATGTAAGCTCATAAGTCTGCTGTTGTGTTTTAAGGGCTCACACTTTTAGCTTTGTGCAGGGTATCCATGCAAGTCTCAGCAAGTCATGACAGATGTGAAGAGTGCACTAAGCATGGTGTCTGTCTGGAAGATTAGCATGTACTATAGTGTAGTAATAGTCCCTAGAGCTTTGTATCTTCCCTAGTTTTGTCAGGAATATATTACTTTTTGTTGTCAAATCTTTATGCAAATAGAGCGAAAATTCAATGGAAAATGTGTAATTTATTCAAACGGGTGCTGCCGACGTATTCAAACCCCGCTGCAGAACATCTCGGGAATATGGAAAGACCAGCCCGTTACCCGATCTCGTTAGCTAACCGTTAGAGCTTGCCTAACGGTGCACTGATGTTATTTACCTATCTTTCTGACAGTTAGGTAACGAGGAGACGCGCGTTGCGTACCGCGCAGTGAACTGTTCGGTAACGGCATCAACTCATTTACACCTCACGGCGCGCCGGCGGTGTAAGCCTTGAAGCTGAAGCTGAAGCTTGAAGCGACACCCCTGAACATGACCTCCACCCCATCTGAGCCGCCTTATCTCTCAACGCTGCGGCTGACCCCTCTCCTCGGCGCAAAGCTCACGGACCGCCACCATATCCTTTCCATACCTCTGAGATCTCTGTCTCAGGCCTGAGGCTCCTTGAAGACCCTTCAGAGCCGGTATTCGTCTTTCAAGCTACCCGCGGAGCTCAACGAACGGCCAGATTTGTGTTTTTGGAGCGCCAGTCGGGAGGGAAAGGTCGTTGGGCGGAAGTATATCACAGAGCTGGGCCTGGGTGCGCACATGCATACACTCACTTTGGCTTGATTGCCTTCTAAGAATCCACGGCAGAATGACCCCAATGCGGTGCCGAGTCCCACAATGGCCCGCTCGTGTACGATCCGCTTTGGGCCGCCTTCCCCAGAGCGACGATGGAGCGACCGAAGACTCGGATACAGGCCTAAACAGAATGGGAACTGTCAGTGCGATCTGCAAGAGCACATCCCAGGAGGGCTGGCCGCGCCAGGCCTCACGAATTCAAGCCTCAAACTGCTCCAAAAGGCCTGTGAGCAGCGTCAGTCTGCATTCGAAGAAGCGCAAGCCGTAGCTCGTGAACGACAAGATCGCGCGAGACGTCAAATATAGCATTGTTGCGTTGGTGAGCAAGCCCACGTAATCGCGCGTGGGCAGCTGTGCTCTGCTGTTCAGCCCGGTGCATTTTTGCACATTGGCCCGGAAGCATGTGTGATCATCCGGCTCTCTTGACAAGCTCTGGCCCTTACGCAGACATTAGGACTGACGAAGGCGCGAGCATCCCCACGGTGACGCAAGCGAAGAATGCCCCCTCGCGCTTACGACCGTGTCCTGGCTTCACTCTTTGCCTAGCCTTCAAGGGACGCCGGCTTGGACCCGGCCAGATGCGCAAGTTGCTCGAGAGGTACAACCTTCGGTCATTTTACATCAGCTTGAACGACCGCTCCATCGATGTTCGTATGGATGTCGACATTGTGGTCCGCGTACACTCGACGGCCCTGCGTGCGGACGACGCGAGATGCACGAAGAGTATCGTACAGCGGTCGTCAGTGATCCGAGAGCGACATCCGTATCTATGTCCTCCCGTTGGTTGCGAGTGTGACTGCCTCGTGCTCAGCTTGTTTCGCAGCACCGAATGGATTGCAAATCAAGGCGTACTCGGCCCACCCGACGAACCGAGTGGACACCTGGCCTTCGAGGCACTCTGGCTGCGCAAAATCTTCGTTTTGTATCCCTGCAACGAGCAAGACCGCGGCGACTGGGCGACTAGGACCAACGGCATAACGGCATCACTACTGGCATCGATATTTATCCTTCACAGGCGGCTTAATGAGAGAAGTAACATCAGCAGAACGTGCAGCGCGTCCTTGCAGGGCCTGAGTACATACGCCCGTTAGCGGAAACTATACTTTAGAAAACCTCCTGTGACCCAAAGCGGAAGGTAATACAGACGAATGTCGAATGCTCAGCTGCAGCGAGTCAGGTTAGCGTACTCGCAGGACAGTGGTATGATCTTGGAGGGATTCCGGAGTGCGCCCGCCAGAGAGTCCGGGGTTAGGGTCTACGTTCTCACGCCCACGCGGGCGCCTGGTGCATTTGTACGAACGCTCCTTGCACTTGAGCTCTCTTGCTCCCTGGCCTCGAGCAGTCTACGCTCCATTTTCTCACGCATGTTGAACTACGGAGGATGGCTCCAGACCTCTTGTCGTTGTTGTTTGCATCGAAGGCGCTCACCTCCAGGCTAGATTTGCCGCCTCTGTAGCCCCCGCCCAGTCAACTCGAAGCGCGGTCGTGGAATCAGCGACGGTAGCGAGGCGTGCGTTAGGTCTTCGCAATAGAGCTGGTTTGAGAGCTAACGATAACATACCTCAGCGTCTGCCTGGTCGCGCGTCGGCGTACAAGCGTCAAGCCCAGTGCGCGAGATCGCGCCTCTGAACATGGCCGCCACTCTTTGCTCCATAGTAAGCCCTGCATGCTCCTCGAGGGCGGTGGTGCACAGAAGGACACAATGCGAGGCTCATGTACTGCCTGTTCGAGCAGGTAATTACCTGATTAGCTGAGATATGCCACCGTGCTGACGATTGGTCAGGCTGCCGCTACACTTTGGGAACGTCTAAACAGAGAAGTCGAAGGTGTGTACCCTGCCACTCTTTTGCCTACCGTGGTCTGCTTTGCGTGCCATCTCGTGCGTAGGCACCTAATCTCACATCTCGCCTGTCTATACGACCAATTAGTCCAGCGATCAATGCCATCGATAATTGCTCTCAGCATCCTCGTCGTCCGCCAACCCGCTCACTATTAGCTTATTGGCTCTCGTATGGCGGTACACGAGGCAGTTCACCGACATGGGTGCTGAGAAGGCTCTGTGATGCGCATACGGCGTCACTCTGTTCTGAGAAGCCTGATGGCATCGGCAAGGGGCCAGTTGAGAATGTGTTGGAGCTTGTTCAGAGAATCATCGTCCTGGCGGATGGCAGCGCTGGGTAAGGAGAGCTTTTGCCTAGGCGTCACTCAGCCTCGCTCAACTCTCGCACATGCGGTAAGTATGAATTGGCGGACGCTTGTATGTTTTCGCTGACCCGGATGTCGTCCGAGCTGAAGCCGCCTACGGGCCTTTTCTCCAAGTGCGCCAGGATCGGCCTCTACAGACTTGAGATGGTGCAATGTGATCCTGATAAGGCTGCCACGGTCGAGCACTGACCTCCGCGCTCCGTCGTGATGGTTGCTCCGCATTATTCTTCCGCCCTCGTGAGGACGGTATCCTCGTTCGTCTGGGCTGGCGAGTTATTCTCGAAGGTCTCCCACTCCTCTTCTGGCGCATAGAAGTCGAAGAGAAGTACGTAATCGGGAACTGGCCTACTGTGGGTCGCATCAATGGGTGCGCACGATTATCTCACCATGTCTTCCATAATTCGGTACTAAAGCTCTTGAAGATGACGGCTCCTGTATAACGCACGTCTCATACTTCTTCAGACGCCTGTCAAGCATTACCACAACACTTACGTTTGATCCCCACTTGGTACGCGGCTGTAGGCGATCTTCCCCGGCCGTTGTCGCTCAACTCAGTGCACCCCAAAATTGAGCCGAACAGAGAAGATGCGCTCTTTGTTGCCCGGCGTCTCAACGAAGTACCCTGTTCGTCCATGCCGCGTCGCGTTAAGACAAGCTCCAAGTGGAAGCTGCCAGATGAGGTTTAAGAAGGTCGGCATGAGTATGGTCCAGTCGGAGCTCTACGAGTGGATGAAAACATACAAGATGATCGTGGAGACGAAGAGGTTTATGGCAAGAGTCGTGTATCGTCGTTACACTGGAAAAGTTCGAGGATATCTGAGGGCTCTGAGAGCATGTGCTTGACCAGGAGATGTGCTTTTTGGACAGGCCGCTGAAGGAGGTCAACTCATTTGACGCGCCGGTACATTGTACTAGCCTTACTTGGCACACTATAGCCAGTTGGCACAGCGAGCTCCAGCCTTGCGCTACAGGCACTTCTGGAGTTTTTTTGGGCACAATAGTAGCTAATACACATATGACTATGTAAGAGTCAAATTTTACCTGAAATCAGATGGTGTGAGCAGTACAGAGGGTGGGATACCTTGCTCAGATGGCCGAAGCGCATGAGGACACAATTGCTCAGACAAGTTTCTACAGCTGACACGCCACTTGTCCACTGCTAAAATGTCATTTTATATATTATGAGCACCATATGAAACATTTAAAGCATGTAAAATGGGCAGCTGTTTGTAGGCATCGGAAAAGAGGACTTATTGTCGTGCCAGGGACCGTCTGCCGCTGAGCGAGCGTGACGGGCGCGTTACTAGCGCCAGCTGGCACAGTAAACCAAACTTCTTGTCTAGTACTCTCTGTTGCCCGTATTACTGTTTTGTTTTGTTTTGTTTTGTTTTGTTATGGAATCATTTGGTGCACCTGAAATATTCTGGTATCCAAATATAATAGAGGATATGGGAGGAATGCCACAGCTGTGAACCAGACAAGCGCAATAGAGCGCAACTACGTCATTAGAGTCATTTGGCACAGTGTGACTTTATGTGACGGATGTTATGATTCGTGACCTGCAGGTGCTGAGAAGCAGGCTTTGTCACGCTTCTAAGTCGTTGCAGTACGCTGTATTTGACGACTTGAAAAACGGCAAAGTCAAAGCTAATTTCTACAATTTGGACATCGTCAAATGGCAAGCAGAAAAGCTATGTCGGCCATACCCTTCACCAACAACGATGAGCTGTCTAATCGGCCATCGCGTTCGTCACTGATAACTTCCTCTACAGCTTTACCCCGGCCCCCACAAGGCCATCAAGCAGCCACTCGCCATGGACACGATTTGCGAACGTGTCACGAGCAGCTACCGCAAGCCCATTTTTGGCTTCCGTGAACACTGACGCTTGATTCTCAGCAATGCTCGACGAAGAATCGCGAGTGCACAACAGTGTGGACGAGATGGAGATGGTCTTCAATGCGATGTTTGATGGCACCATTGTCGACGGCCGTCTACACAGTGCACCTGCTGCCTTTGGCATCGGGTCTGGAGCATACGACTCTGGGCTGACATCGATGGACGACAACGAGCGGCCGGCGGTGAAGTAAAAGAGCGCGGAAGCAGATGCTGAGCGACGACAGCTACCTAACGCCTAGCTTCGAGCAGGTTCTTGCCGCTATAACCTTCCACTCTGTCGTACTCCTCCTCACACGGGTTCCCCCTGTCCTACTTGTTTCGCGTGTCATTCATACAACATGTGTACCATACTAAATCGTAATCCGCGGGTCTCTGGAGTAATCAAACACATGATTTAATACAGCCATAGCGGGGAGTGTAACAATAGCAGCGGAAAAACGGAGGAATATGAACAATAAGAAGCATACACGGCTAACAAGTCCTGACTCCCTTTTTCCTTTCTCCATGAACCCTTATGCTAGGTGCAGCGGGCTCTTCGTTGGCAGAGCTCAGAGTTGGTAGAGAAAATGCGAAGGGTTCCTGGCCGCCCGCTGGCACGTCGTGTGTGCTGGAGATCGCCGTACGCGGGGTCGTAGGGTGGCCGACAAGTTCATCGACAGGGGAATCAACCGGTAACGGGAGTCTATCGGACGTGCCGCCGGATGCCGCACAGCCATTGCAGAGGGGGCACTGTTACTCTCTGATGGCCGGGCAGAAGGCGTCTCCGGTGCTACAGAGTTAGTGGATGAAGATAATGAGGTGTAACAGTTGGGCTATGGAGAAGCGTGTCAGGCTGAGAACGATCGAGCTCCCGGCTGGCCTGCCAAGTGAGCTAGCTCCCCATCTGCATGAGACGCTTTGTACCACAGCTTCCTGGTCACTTCATCTCGGTTCATTTGCGTCGTGAAATCCGCCATAATAGCCTGATACCGTACTAAGTGGCTGTCGTCGATAGTGAGGTCCAGGCTAGGAAGCAACTCTTGTTATTGATGAGGAAGCCTTCGTACGGCCTGGGATATATAGTCCAAGGTGATTTGTGGTGGAGCAAGACTTGGAGATGTAATTACGCCGAGCTGCCATAGTTTGATATAACCACCAAACTTGACGAACTCGGAGCATATCTCTCCCCCGGCTCCAGAAGGCTACATCAATTCACAAATAATAAACGAATTTAAACATTAGCATACAATAAATATACGTCGTGCACAAGTAGTTGAAACTAATTACCCACCTGGAGACAGTTCCATATGCACCGTATGGAATAGGCGCCCCACTCAGGATCGAATTCTATGACGTTCCACATATGCAAGGTCAGTCGGATATCTTGCACGAACCGAGATAGCTGCTGCTCCAGCTCCACGGTACATTTGGCTTGCGAGACATGCACCCACCAACTGTGTACCATTATTTCAAAGTTGACATGTGTGCTGGGTCCGCAGGTCCGGTTCCTGCAGGAAATATGTACGGTTTTCAAAAGACATGGCGGCTAAACAAGCATATGCAAGATGAGCATGCCCTTCAGACCTGTCCATGTAGTAGAACACATCACTACAGCGATGCTCGTCGACAAGGAACTCGCCGAACGACGCGTGGAGGGGCACCACATGCCCGTGCTTGTCGACCATCAGCACGGAGCGCAGGCGGTCCACCATGTAGAAGACATCGTGGACTGACAGATCGCGTTCATAAAATGCAACAGTCTCAGGATTTATCCAGTTAGATTCTAATGCAACAAAACGCAAGAGGGAACGGAAGCATTTGCGTTGACGAAGTGAGGCGCGCAAGTCTTCCGGGGGGAATGCAGACTGGAGGATCTGCAGATACAACGCATGGAGAGGCGACGCCGCTGGACCTCCACCTGAGAGAACAAGCTCGAACCACTCCTCTGGACAATTTTGATGTTCGTCCAAGAAATTCACGGTGATCCGGGCGAAGATGAATACGCCGGCCGCACGCTTGATGAGGCGTTCAAGGGCGTCGGGGTGCTTCTCGAGGAAGTCGGAATAGGACGGTATCTTCGGGACAGTCTTCCTGAGGTAATGTCCGACATCACCCTCACCGTCCGCAGTGTCCTCCAGTCGCATATGGTGAACAACGTGGGCAAAATCGGGAGATGCGAGCACCGACATTATGTGGGGTTCTGGGCGCGATGCGGCAAAGACGTATAGCCAGGGAAACTCGCGGACAAGACTGAGCAAGCATCGGAGCAATTCGGGAACGAGCCTCCTGTCCTTGCACTCGTCTATCCCATCGATGACGATCAGTGTTGGTACTTGATCCGCGGGGGCAGCGGTGAAAGTGTCCCGAAGGAGCTCCCCGAATGCATGTTGTATTTGTTGCCGGTCGCCGTGGCTAAGGTACTTTTGTGCGGCGCTGGCGATGTGAGGACGAAGGGTCGGCTGAGAGGCCGCAAGCTGGCGTGCGAGCGTCGAAAAAACAAGGCGAGCATCCTCGAGGTCCCCGCCACCGCGGACAAAGAAGAATGAAGCGCCGAGCCTGAGCAAAGGATGCTCCAGTGAGTCGTGGCGGACGCAGAGCTGGTGGGAGATCGACAACTTCCCTAGGCCTGCACCACCGGTGAGGTAGCAGACTCGTTTGGGCTTGTCTTCGGGGAATCGATTGGCTGACCACCGCTTTAGCTCCTCGAATAGCTCTTCGCGGGTGCCTTGCGTGAATCCGCTCTTGAGTTCATCCACCGACCGATATCCTGCATCTGCTCGAGGAATGGAGTCGATGACTCTCTTGTCCTCTTCACAGGCAACGGTCAGTCACTGGGCGAAGCGTGCACGAGAGACTCGCGAGTACACTTACCGCCTTCCTGTTGTTGACGTTGAATCTCCCGCAATCGATCTTGGATTTGCTGTAGAATGATGTTACTGACGAGCTGTCTGAGATGGCTACATTGTACTAACCTTCGTTGTCTGTGCAACCCTGTCGAGAATGCTCTCAATAGAAACTGACCCGCTGAGCTAGAACAAGTGCATATGTATCAGAGTGAGCATTATGGGCCGACGAGGTCGGCGTACCTTGAACAGGCCTATTGCCCGTGTCATCTCTTCCTTCATGTCTGATAGGACGTCTCGGTTCTCAGACGCGTACACGAGCCTTTTGGCGAACCCACGGAAACCTTTCCCAATCTTCAGCTCTCCTGCGCGTTCCACAAGGCCGTCAATTGTGCTGACTCTGTTTCAGCGTTGCTTCCCAAGTTAATCACACCCTCGACGCACCTCTGTAGATCTTGGACTCGCTTCTGAAGCTCACTAGACTTAACCTCGTCCAATAGCTGTTTTTTATCATGCTCATCGCCGTCATACTCGGCGACACGGCGTTTATCTTTGTCGCTGTCGTGTTGATGACAGTCTTGAGCTCGTCGACCTGAGCGAGGAAGGCACCACGCTTATCGTCGACCTCTCGGACAAGCTACAGGTAGTGAGAGAATGTTATAATCTCGTTCATCCGATGCAGTGGTTGGGATCCACTTGCCTGAACCCTTACGACGAGAAGATTTAGCCCCACCGCGAGGGTAGGTAAACCCGGTACGACCTCGAGCGCACTCTCCGCTATTTTGAGGCCACCAGAGGCGATGCCAAGACCGACACTAACAGCCCTGCGAGAAGGCATGGTCGGTCGTTGGTGAGTGTGTTGAGGACGATGTGAATAGATATGGTGCGCAGAAGGGAACGGGCATGAGCTATCCTCGTGCGCTGACGGATATGGACACGCGTACACGCCTAGCGGGGCCAGGTAGCCTCAGGCTAAGCGCAGTGATCTGGCCTGATATGAACCTGCTCGGCTGAACTACGACCTTGCCTGCCCGAACGTCCTCCGCACGAACTGATCTTTCTACCGTGGGGCAGACACCTGACCAGCGCCTAAGGGACTCTCAAGGAGATTATCAGGGTTGCCGATTATCTGCTATCACGTAATTTCCATTTATATGTACTATGTCAGCAGTTTTTGCGTCATCTTTCGAAAGCCTCCTTGGGGCGGGAGGCTTCCGAAAGATGACGCAAAAACTGCTGACATAGTACATATAAATGGAAATTACGTGATAGCAGATAATCGGCAACCCTGATTCCGATTCCCTCTAGAATCGGAGTCGGAGAACTGGGACGTGGGACGCGATTAGGCGCTCGCTCCCTACAGTCCACTCAATGGGACACCTGATCAATATTTGCTTCCCCTTTGTATGTCTCTCGCATATAGATACCAAATAAATCGGATTATATTACTACAGCATATGAAATACCTCAGTGCAGAGCTGCAAGGCGAAAAGACGAAAGCTGAAGTCAAGACAAAGGACACAAGACGGAGGTAGTCCAGGACAGCCGCTACCATGACTGATGTGACAAAAGTGACAATTTGTGACCTATACCAGCAGTCTTGGTGGACGCAGCGGTCACGCGGCAGTCAAACTTGTCACGCCTCAGTAATGCCTAAGCTCAGTAAAATCATCTCTGATGTATTCCAGCTCGACACTTAACAACTGAGCACTGTGCACATTTTTCACATGAATGGAGCATAAATTTGAGTATTAACGAATATTTTCGCGAATTTTAGGCTCACTGTGTGACTCTGATGACAGTCGCAGCATCACTGAAACCGGTGCGCTTGGCAATTTTCGAGGCTTTTTGCTCCCCCACCTACGCTACAATCACTGGACGGCTCTGAGTTTCTAATGGCATATAGATATAGATCTATTATATACAGTAAAGTGGTAGTGATAGGCCCTACAGGCTGTGTGAGGGCAGAAAGTGGAGTGTTCCAAGGAGTGGTGCTGTCCCAAGGAGTGGTCCTACACTGTACTTCATATGGAAGTGCTCGGCGGTCTCTTTTTACCTTTTCGGGCCTCTGCTGTACGTCGGGGTTTGCCCCTGTTGCAATGCCCTCACGCACAAAAAGTAGGAGTGTGCAACTAGGCACAGCATAATTGCTTCCGTTGGTCAGTACATCTGGAGTGGATGAACATGGACATCCAGTTGGCTACACCTGTTGGGGATATGGGTCGATCTGCGCCTAGTGCGTATTCGAACCTTCAATGCTGTTAGAAGCTGACCCGTGTTTTGCAGGCACTTGTTGTGCGCCATCCGACCTGCGGAACTGCGGGGCTTGCTTGTCCGCGGTTCAGATGGCTGTTGCAGGCACACTACTCACAATTGGTAAGTCATCGGTTTATCAGGATTGGATATCGCAGCTAATGTGCTCAGTTGTCTTTATTTCTCTTTGCCTTACCCCCTGTTATGTGTCTAGTCCTTGGGATGGTCGGGAGTGGCGCCCCATGCATCCTGGACACGAGAATGTACAGCAGGTGCTTGGTGGTGGTCACTGCCAGCACCTCGCACTGTCTGCCCTACACTTTTTGTTTGCTTCTACTCCGTTTCTTCACTTTTCCCCAACCAATACACCTTCAGTTTTTACAAGAGACGTGCAGAAATGTGTTCAAAACACTCAGTCTCGCTTGGAGCTACCTGACAACCTACGCAACATCAGATTTGGTGGAGACCTGGCTGCACTGAGGCTAGGGGCTGTGTTTGGTGAATAGCCAGGGAACTGTGGCACATAACCATATTGTCTTACCTGCATTCGAAAGCCCTCGCTTCTGGCTTTGTTTCAACCCTGCATACGCTCAGATACCTCCACGCATTATTGCAGTCTACCCTCTGCGCTGTAGTGCGCACCTTCAGGGAAGATCATTGTCTCTTTCGACTACCGCTGCAGCGACCACACTCGCGCACCACCTATTCGAAAGCCCTTGCTCCTGGCTTTCTTTCGACCCCACATACACTCAGATATGTCCACACGTTATTGCAGTCTATTCTCTGCGCTCCAGTGCGCACAATCTGGGACGATCATCGTCTTTTTCGACAACCGCTGCAGCGACCGCGCTCGCACATCGCCTATTCGAAAGTGCTACACCAGCTCGTCAAAATTCACTAGGCTTTGTCCTCCTATTGAACGCTATATAAATTTTTGTTTCTTCATTCTTTTGGCAGAAGGGAATCGGACTGTAGGGCGAAAGCCAATACCCCCGAGTAATCTCCTTGAGAGTCCCTTAGGCGCTGGTCAGGAGTCTGACCGTGTTCCGCCTTTGGCTAACAGAGGATTCAACCTGAGGCCCATGTCGTTTCGCCCTGAGGCCTGTGATCGCGCCGTTGTGTATTCTATCAATTCCGGCTTCTGAGCATTTGGCCTTTGGGTGGATGAGCTCTTGAACTCTTGTCCACTAGCCTTAAGCTGTCTACGCTCTATGCTTCCCTCCGCACATGCACATCCCATTCAACCGTGAAGAATGCCTCAAACTTCCCATTGCCGTTGTCTGCATCGAAAGCGCCCACATCGTACCTCTCCAAGCGAGACTTGTTGCCTCCAGTGTAGCTCTTGCCCAGCCGACTTGAAGCGTGGTCATGCAGACCGGTCTCGCGGCAACCAGAGATCAGTGACAGTGGCAAGATGTGTGTAACACGTTCGTGATAGAGCCATTTTGGAAGCTAATGCACCCTCAGAATGTACCTGGTCGCACTTGCTCACGTCAACGTACAAGCATTGGCCAGCGCGCGATATTGCGCTGTCATGCACCATAATTATAAGTATAGAAAAACTAAAGAAATAATAGGTATTCAAATCAAAAAGAAACCGCTTACTCAGAGCTGCAAAGTAAGCATAGACACTTAAGCTTACTAAAAGTGAATCAATGACTAATAATATGACTCAGCTTCTTAGTAATCTAGAAAATATGCTTAGTAAAGGTCTATGCTCAACAGCTATGAATTACCAAAATATAGTAATACTCTAACAAACATTAGTAATAGCTTACCAATACATTAGTAAAACAGACAGAAGGCTGACTAATACAGACAAAATGCTTATTAATAAAAGTAGAAGTAGCTTAGTAATTACAGTAGAATAGAAGAGCCAGTTTTGCTATTGGCTAAGGAACAATAGGCTGAAAAGTATAAATAGGAGAGGTTCTCTGAGAAACACGAACACACCAACCCACCAAGCACCACACACACTCTCAAGGATTTAGCTAGCAGCAAACCTGCAGTTAATCCCCTGAGCTCTTTAGCTCTCAGAGAATAGACTCCTTTCTTTAAAGCCTAGGAAATTCCTTAAGCACAGTAGAGCCTCTGACTTTCAAATAACCTGAAGGGAAACGCCCTTGGTATAGTGCACGAGTTCACTATTTGACTAACCCTAGACTGCGAGAGCTAGTGGCGTCATTATTTGAGACTGTGGTACGTCTCCTGTAGAGCTTACAGTAATTAGACTAGCAGTAAAGAGATTAATTCTATTCTTGATCTTCAACTCTAAATTGGAAGCTTCAGACTGCTTCAAGTTATACAAATCCTCTAAGGACATTAAATTGTCCTTACTAGCCAAAGCTTACTAAGTTAACCAAGACATTAAGTTGTCTTTGTTACCCTCTTTTCTTACTTATCTAAAAACCCTATTCTACTAACCCAAGTAGCTAGTCTTTAAGCTACTAACCAAACCTCCCTACAGCCCATCTTCTAAGATTCTGTAAAAAGTCCCTTGTAAACAGGCAAGTGAGGCTTTAGAGTATTTAAGCAGATTAGTAGTGGTCTTTGAATTAGTCCCCCACGAACACCAGATAGCTTGGTTGAAAGGCTAACCCAGTGAACCCTGGAAGAAAAGATTGGGAAAACCAAATCTAAGTATTCCATACTATACCCTTCTTGCTTCTAGTTTAGAACAGACCAAACTCCATTCTCTTT